TCGCTCTTTTCCATCAGAGAGAACTGAAGCCGCCAGTGTCTCGATATGACGCTGACATCTTGGCACTTGAGTCTGCGCACTTACGTGTTTCGGGACCAGTCATGCGCAGTCGTGAGCAGGAAGTAAAGCCGCGAAATCAAGGCCGCGCCCTCACTCTCGCTGAATCAAACGCAAGCACACGCCCCGCACTTTCATTAAGTGTCCTCTGTCTGCTTCGTTCTTCTCCAATGATGTCTGCTGATTGCAGAACCTCGTTAAAATAAGGTAAATACAGCTACTAACCACATAATCAACATTATTAAAAAAAAATCCGCTGGTGCTTTAGTGACTACCTCGCACAGAGAACTTGTCAATCACAGCTGTCAATCATGATGTCACAGCACCGTTTTTATCATCACATAACTAACTAAAAACAAACTTATTTTAAAAACGAACACTTGAAATTACATCAACGTGATATAAACTACAGTAAATATCTTTGGAAAAAGGATATGTGAAGTGTAATTTAATTGTTTAGTTGGTCTCGCGTCCCATTGAATAACATGGGGAGGCGGGGGTTATGAGCTATACTAGGTCCGGTCACAGGGGGGCGATCGAGACGTTTTGGCTTCACTTTTGAGGGCTTGTGCGGCACGCTTGGTTCTAATGCATGAACTAAAGATGCAAGGAAGTGGAGAGATGAAAATGTGTCCTTGCAGAATCATGCACATCACGAAGTTTAAGCGGCCAGGCAAAGATAGCAGTTTGTGCTTAGAACAGTTTGGACTGTCTAGGAGGGTGGACACGACCAGAATTATCCTGTCGATTTTTCCTTGGACAATGAGGCCTGGAAATGAACTGTACCCAAGTTAATATCAGAAATTCAATGGACATGGCTGGACCAATGATTTTATCCTGGGCGATTGGAATCCCGAGCTCAGCGGAAACCGTATGGGACTGAGAGATCTGAAGCATTTTGTAAATATTCTTAGTAAGATATCTTCTAAGTGATAACATGCGCTTTCTTACCTGCTTATTTTTACCTTTGACTCATCTGTTTGATACTGTTATCGTGGTTTGATGTTGAATGATCAAGGTCATAGAGGCATTTTGTCGACGGAGCTCTAGCCTAAGGTAAAGTGCTTAGGACTCTCGCTGGGAGATCTGTAAGATGGGCCACACATGCAGGGCTCACTACTCGAGCTGGGGATGCTAGATCTTTAGATGGGAAGGAAGGTCTTTCCTCAGGGGTATTGGCCATGTGGCTGTTGCTAGCAGCTGAATGAACTCATGGAACCAAGGCTGTGCGTCTGTCCTCTCTGATCCTATTAAAGGTTCTCTGAGCGATCCTGGGTGTTGACGTTCGGAATATTTTCAAACAAATCGGAGGCTAGCTAAACCCTCCCTCCGCCGCATCTCATCTCCTCCCCCTCCCTTCCGTGCTTCCTGAAATAATTGTGAACGTGCATAGTTCTAGCTAATTATATCCTTGTGTGGGTTTGTCGAACATAAGCGTCAATTTAGAAGAAAAAAAACAATTTAACGTTACCCACCTGTCCAGCAAAAACAGAGCAACCTGAATGTCGGACTGGAAGCCCTTCTGCCGCCGGAGTTCAAAAGCTTTGCTACCGATGTAAATTCGGAACTTCACACGTTCTTTATCCGACTCCTCCTTCTTTTTAATTTGTTCTTCAGAACGACGTCTCTTTGGTCGTGTGTCGGCCATTTTTCAAACTTCCCTCTGATGCTTCTCTCTCCTTCACACACACACACACCCTTCATGTGCACGCGCACTAACCCCCCCAGACCCACCCTCAAATACTTCTTGCCAGTGATTGGCTGGAACACTGTTTGTTAGGTTTCGTGGTCCGGGTGAGACATGATTGTTTTTGTAGCCGTTTGTGGAGCCTGTGGTGTCTACAGAGACCGCGTTTTTTTACAGTGTGTTTAGGGGACAGGCAGCTAGCCGATAGTGAGGAGACGTTTGATGTATGTGACAAAAATTGTTTTGGCCCCACATCGCTTAGAGAACCTTTAATGACCTGAGGGAGGAGCGTGACTGAGGGAAAAGTGTTTTTGGGAAGGCTGGGCCAGTGCATCCGTGCTCTCCGAAACGAATATTGGGCAGTGAGAGTTGTCTACAGAGGCTAAGAGGTCGACCTCTGCCCTGCCGAAAATAGAGGAAGCATGCAGCGAGTGACTGTCTTCCACAACCAGGCGCTGCACAATATTCTGTATTGCTCGGTAGCTCGATCCGGTTTGTCATCACGAGGTATGTTAGGCTACTTAGCTATGCGTGTAATGCGCGAATCGGTGGGCGGGGCTAAACCGACCGTGTTGAAGTAGGTGTTTATCTTCTTCTGTGGGGGTGCTGTTTTATCCTCTTTGACGTCATAGTTCCCCACTTTAAAAAACGAGACGTTTTCTGAGGCTGGTGTCAATAAAAGCTTTTATTGGACTAACAAGGACGTTTTCAGTTCTGAAACTTACAGGATATTCGTATAATATGATGACCTCTTAGATGTCTAAAGCTCGAGGAAAATTTGATTTCTCAGTTCATCACCCCTTTAATCTTTACATCTGAGTGGATTATTTTATTCATTTAACCAACATGTTATGTTGAATAAATATTTGTGTTATTCAGGCCCTGCATTATTGTTAGGGTTTCAGTAACACACCCACTGTGAAGCCTATTGAAAGCGCCCTGGATATAAATATATGAGCCACCGTACTCTAATGGATATTTGGCATGCAGTTAATAATGAATGCACATAATGTGAATGAATTTAATACATTTAGTTTCCAAGAGTTCCAGCTAAGCTTGAGTAAATTCACTGAAAAAATACTGATCACTGAGATGACACATTCAGAAGGGACTAAAATCACAGAGAATCTCTGGTAATTATTATTTTACCCCACCTCTCCATGTTAAACTAGTCCCGTCTGAACAGGTTTAAAGACAGTAATGAAGATGAGAAAGGAAGAGCAGGTGTTATATTGTGAGAATATAGTGAGAAGGCTTATATTTTCCTATTAAGATGTTGCTTACGTCTACCTTGTAAATATATATTTTTTTGCTATTTTATTTAAAGGATTTTTCATGTAAATCAACAACAATTACAATTTTAACAATATTTCAAGTGTAATCTTTCTTTGTAAAAAGTATACATTATATGTATTTCAAAGCTAAGTAGTCGTTAGTTTGAATATTGGAACTATTATAAAATCATACAATTATGTTATAAAAATATAATTAATACAATACAAAATACAAAAAGTAATACAGGGCATATGCAGTATTGAACTAATGTTCTTCTCTAGAGTCATTTTTTCTTGCTAACTAACGAGTTTATGAACATTGAATCGTTTTCTTGAGATAAATGTAACTTTAGGTGACATTGTATAGCCTACAAGCTGTTTTATTGACACTGATTGTGCGATGACATGAGACAGGAGTCATTTCATTAAGTTATTCTATATCTTTCAACATTCCTTCTTCTGATGGTAATTCGTGTTTATTTACTGCTGTAATTAGTAGTAAAGAGGAGAGGAGATGATTGATCCGTGCTGCCGCTTGTTTGAATTTCATTATAAAATCGACAGAATTTAAAAGTTGTGACTTTGCTTCATATTTCGCATGCATCAACAAAAAATAGCACGGACTAAAAGATTTTAGATATCATGCCATTCTTTTTAAAATGGAGAAATGAACATGTAAATCTAGATCTAGTGTCCACACAGCTGACATGTTTCACTGTTGTAGCTTATCAACGCAGTGTGCACGAAATAGTCACTGAACAGTCAGAGAAGCGCTAATTAAATGTAATTTTCACTCACTGATTTCGGCCCTCCAAAACCATCTCAGCCCGAAACCAAAAACAGCTGTTTCAGCTTTTCCAAAAAGAATAGCAATACCCCCACTTAAATAGAGCCATGACCAAAGAAAATGTTTCCCTCGCACAACATTCTCCAGTCTTTCTCAACTATCTTTTATTACTATGGGTTTCTTGTAAAAAAAAAATTCTAATAATAATATATATATATATATATATATATATATATAAGGGCTGTGCAAAAATTAATTGTGATTAATCGCATCCAAAATAAAAGTCTGTGTTTACATAATATATTTGCGTGTGCTGAAATATAATTATTTTGTATAAATAAATACCTATGCATGTATATATTTAAGAATTATTTCCGCTTAAATTCTGTATATATATAAATACATAAACTATATTATATAAATATAAATATTTTATATATGAATAACACATTTTCTTAAATATATACATGCATGTGTGTGTGTATTTATATATACAAAATAATTACATACAGCACACACAAATATATTATATAAACACAGACTTTTATTTTAGATGCGATTAATCGCAATTAATTTTTGCACAGCCCTAATATATATATATATATATATTGGTCTGGATACTTTTCTCCCTCCATCCATTTAGTCCCTATTGTCAAGCTCTCCATGTAAAGAGGGAAAAGAAAGAAGAAAAAAATATGAAGACAGAAGTAAAAACCAATTTAAGATAGAAGAGAAGATCCACGCTTTGTGACATTAAACATTGGGCTATTACTAGTCATTTAGTTGGACATTTTCCTCTCCTTAATTTTGTTACTTTACTCTAATCCTTTTTCTTCTGCAAAGTTCATCAAAACCTACCTATTTCTGTATTTTCATTTCTAAAATTAAGAACTTGTTAACATCTGGGAAAATCTCTCTCACTTAAAATCTTCTGCTAAAAGTTTCATCCAGAAAATCATTGATTTCTTTTGCAGCTGTTCATCTTTACACTAAGAATATATCTCACATCTCATCATCTTCACCTCCTTCCTCAATCCCATGACCAATTCCCTCTTCCTCTGTCTGTGAAAGAAAAGGCCATTATCACCTTTATCACCAATACTAGCTGTTTCAAAAGTGCAAATGACTTTTCTTCAACACTCTTCTCATCATTTTCCTGAACTACTTCACTTACTCCCTGTTTTCTGTTCCTCAGGGAAAGGACCCGGAAGAGGCGGATGAGGTGGTCGTTGTTATTGAAAAGGGTTTCATGGACGAGTTCTTTGAGCAGGTTTGTATATTTACATTGCCTATTTACTAATGAAATACACTGAAAATCCTCAAACGTATCCAGACTATCAGTTTGAAAGAAAGAGAGTTGAGGTGAGGCACTATTTTGCAAACGGCCTTGGTCTTTTGCATTTACTAACTAACTAACTAACTAACTAACTAACTAACTAACTAACTAACTAACTAACTAAAGGCACTCAGGAGAAACGAGGGGTATCCAGAAAGCAGGCTATGTGACTTACCTGGGTAAGCTAACCATAATTAGCTAATAGACCCCTGGAAAGACGAACAGGAACACAAACCAGTATAATACACAACGAGAACATACAAAGAACTGAACCAAACAACAGGCTAAATGAGAAATACAATAAAGTGGGACCAATCAATCAACCAATGAGTAACTATGGGACCAAAAAAATCCAGAACTAAATACAGAGATTGAAACCGATCTTAAAGAACCAAAACTACACAGACAATACATGACACAGATGAGTTCTACTAGGTTCTGTTTCCTAATCAGCCACACATGGAAAGACTATAATAATAATGCAAGATGAAGACCAGACATCACATCAGACACATCAAGACTGAAGATAAGAGGTTAATAAAGTCTGCATTTGTGTTCTGTTTATGAATTAACACTGATTTCTGCTTTTAACCACTTCGCTTGTGCCATGAATATCAGTTCTGTGGGTTTGCTGGCAGCTTCAATATACTAGTTTTTTTTATTATTATTATTTTTATACATGTTACCAGTGTTGTAGTCGAGACCACCTCACTCGAGTCCGAGTCGACACCGAGACCAGAGAGAGTCGAGTCCGAGTCAAGACCGAGTCCATAGAGAGTCGAGTCCGAGACCAGAGACAGTCGAGTCCGAGTCAAGACCGAGTCCATAGAGAGTCGAGCCCGAGACCAGAGACAGTCGAGTCCGAGTCAAGACCGAGTCCATAGAGAGTCGAGACCGAGACCAGAGAGAGTCGAGTCCGAGTCAAGACCGAGTCCATAGAGAGTCGAGTCCGAGACCATAGAGAGTCGAGTCCGAGTCAAGACCGAGTCCATAGAGAGTCGAGTCCGAGACCAGAGACAGTCGAGTCCGAGTCAAGACCGAGTCCATAGAGAGTCGAGTCCGAGACCAGAGACAGTCGAGTCCGAGTCAAGACCGAGTCCATAGAGAGTCGAGTCCGAGTCAAGACCGAGTCCATAGAGAGTCGAGTCCGAGACCAGAGACAGTCGAGTCCGAGTCAAGACCGAGTCCATAGAGAGTCGAGTCCGAGTCAAGACCGAGACCAGAGACAGTCGAGTCCGAGTCAAGACCGAGTCCATAGAGAGTCGAGTCCGAGTCAAGACCGAGTCCATAGAGAGTCGAGTCCGAGACCAGAGACAGTCGAGTCCGAGTCAAGACCGAGTCCATAGAGAGTCGAGTCCGAGTCAAGACCGAGTCCATAGAGAGTCGAGTCCGAGTCAAGACCGAGTCCATCGAGAGTCGAGTCCGAGTCAAGACCGAGTCCATAGAGAGTCGAGTCCGAGTCAAGACCGAGTCCATAGAGAGTCGAGTCCAAGACCAGAGACAGTCGAGTCCGAGTCAAGACCGAGTCCATAGAGAGTCGAGTCCGAGTCAAGACCGAGTCCATAGAGAGTCGAGTCCGAGTCAAGACCGAGTCCATAGAGAGTCGAGTCCGAGACCAGAGACAGTCGAGTCCGAGTCAAGACCGAGTCCATAGAGAGTCGAGACCGAGTCAAGACCGAGTCCATAGAGAGTCGAGTCCGAGTCAAGACCGAGTCCATCGAGAGTCGAGTCCGAGTCAAGACCGAGTCCATCGAGAGTCGAGTCCGAGTCAAGACCGAGTCCATAGAGAGTCGAGTCCGAGACCAGAGACAGTCGAGTCCGAGTCAAGACCGAGTCCATAGAGAGTCGAGTCCGAGTCAAGACCGAGTCCATCGAGAGTCGAGTCCGAGTCAAGACCGAGTCCATAGAGAGTCGAGTCCGAGACCAGAGACAGTCGAGTCCGAGTCAAGACCGAGTCCATAGAGAGTCGAGTCCGAGTCAAGACCGAGTCCATAGAGAGTCGAGTCCGAGTCAAGACCGAGTCCATAGAGAGTCGAGACCGAGTCCATAGAGAGTCGAGTCCGAGTCAAGACCGAGTCCATAGAGAGTCGAGTCCGAGACCAGAGACAGTCGAGTCCGAGTCAAGACCGAGTCCATAGAGAGTCGAGTCCGAGACCAGAGACAGTCGAGTCCGAGTCAAGACCGAGTTCATAGAGAGTCGAGTCCGAGTCAAGACCGAGTCCATAGAGAGTCGAGTCCGAGTCAAGACCGAGTCCATAGAGAGTCGAGTCCGAGACCAGAGACAGTCGAGTCCGAGTCAAGACCGAGTCCATAGAGAGTCGAGACCGAGACCAGAGAGAGTCGAGTCCGAGTCAAGACCGAGTCCATAGAGAGTCGAGACCGAGACCAGAGACAGTCGAGTCCGAGTCAAGACCGAGTCCATAGAGAGTCGAGTCCGAGTCAAGACCGAGTCCATAGAGAGTCGAGTCCGAGACCAGAGACAGTCGATTCCGAGTCAAGACCGAGTCCATAGAGAGTCGAGTCCGAGTCAAGACCGAGTCCATAGAGAGTCGAGTCCGAGACCAGAGACAGTCGAGTCCGAGTCAAGACCGAGTCCATAGAGAGTCGAGTCCGAGACCAGAGACAGTCGAGTCCGAGTCAAGACCGAGTTCATAGAGAGTCGAGTCCGAGTCAAGACCGAGTCCATAGAGAGTCGAGTCCGAGTCAAGACCGAGTCCATAGAGAGTCGAGTCCGAGACCAGAGACAGTCGAGTCCGAGTCAAGACCGAGTCCATAGAGAGTCGAGACCGAGACCAGAGAGAGTCGAGTCCGAGTCAAGACCGAGTCCATAGAGAGTCGAGACCGAGACCAGAGACAGTCGAGTCCGAGTCAAGACCGAGTCCATAGAGAGTCGAGTCCGAGTCAAGACCGAGTCCATAGAGAGTCGAGTCCGAGACCAGAGACAGTCGATTCCGAGTCAAGACCGAGTCCATAGAGAGTCGAGTCCGAGTCAAGACCGAGTCCATAGAGAGTCGAGTCCGAGACCAGAGACAGTCGAGTCCGAGTCAAGACCGAGTCCATAGAGAGTCGAGACAGAGACCAGAGAGAGTCGAGTCCGAGTCAAGACCGAGTCCATAGAGAGTCGAGTCCAAGACCAGAGACAGTCGAGTCCGAGTCAAGACCGAGTCCATAGAGAGTCGAGTCCGAGACCAGAGACAGTCGAGTCCGAGTCAAGACCGAGTCCATAGAGAGTCGAGTCCGAGTCAAGACCGAGTCCATAGAGAGTCGAGTCCGAGTCAAGACCGAGTCCATAGAGAGTCGAGTCCGAGACCAGAGACAGTCGAGTCCGAGTCAAGACCGAGTCCATAGAGAGTCGAGTCCGAGTCAAGACCGAGTCCATAGAGAGTCGAGTCCGAGACCATAGAGAGTCGAGTCCGAGTCAAGACCGAGTCCATAGAGAGTCGAGTCCGAGACCAGAGACAGTCGAGTCCGAGTCAAGACCGAGTCCATAGAGAGTCGAGTCCGAGACCAGAGACAGTCGAGTCCGAGTCAAGACCGAGTCCATAGAGAGTCGAGTCCGAGACCAGAGACAGTCGAGTCCGAGTCAAGACCGAGTCCATAGAGAGTCGAGTCCGAGTCAAGACCGAGTCCATAGAGAGTCGAGTCCGAGTCAATACCGAGTCCATAGAGAGTCGAGACCGAGTCCATAGAGAGTCGAGTCCGAGTCAAGACCGAGTCCATAGAGAGTCGAGTCCGAGACCAGAGACAGTCGAGTCCGAGTCAAGACCGAGTCCATAGAGAGTCGAGTCCGAGACCAGAGACAGTCGAGTCCGAGTCAAGACCGAGTTCATAGAGAGTCGAGTCCGAGTCAAGACCGAGTCCATAGAGAGTCGAGTCCGAGTCAAGACCGAGTCCATAGAGAGTCGAGTCCGAGACCAGAGACAGTCGAGTCCGAGTCAAGACCGAGTCCATAGAGAGTCGAGACCGAGACCAGAGAGAGTCGAGTCCGAGTCAAGACCGAGTCCATAGAGAGTCGAGACCGAGACCAGAGACAGTCGAGTCCGAGTCAAGACCGAGTCCATAGAGAGTCGAGTCCGAGTCAAGACCGAGTCCATAGAGAGTCGAGTCCGAGACCAGAGACAGTCGATTCCGAGTCAAGACCGAGTCCATAGAGAGTCGAGTCCGAGTCAAGACCGAGTCCATAGAGAGTCGAGTCCGAGACCAGAGACAGTCGAGTCCGAGTCAAGACCGAGTCCATAGAGAGTCGAGTCCGAGACCATAGAGAGTCGAGTCCGAGTCAAGACCGAGTCCATAGAGAGTCGAGTCCGAGACCAGAGACAGTCGATTCCGAGTCAAGACCGAGTCCATAGAGAGTCGAGTCCGAGTCAAGACCGAGTCCATAGAGAGTCGAGTCCGAGACCAGAGACAGTCGAGTCCGAGTCAAGACCGAGTCCATAGAGAGTCGAGACCGAGACCAGAGAGAGTCGAGTCCGAGTCAAGACCGAGTCCATAGAGAGTCGAGACCGAGACCAGAGACAGTCGAGTCCGAGTCAAGACCGAGTCCATAGAGAGTCGAGTCCGAGACCATAGAGAGTCGAGTCCGAGTCAAGACCGAGTCCATAGAGAGTCGAGTCCGAGACCAGAGACAGTCGATTCCGAGTCAAGACCGAGTCCATAGAGAGTCGAGTCCGAGTCAAGACCGAGTCCATAGAGAGTCGAGTCCGAGACCAGAGACAGTCGAGTCCGAGTCAAGACCGAGTCCATAGAGAGTCGAGACAGAGACCAGAGAGAGTCGAGTCCGAGTCAAGACCGAGTCCATAGAGAGTCGAGTCCAAGACCAGAGACAGTCGAGTCCGAGTCAAGACCGAGTCCATAGAGAGTCGAGTCCGAGACCAGAGACAGTCGAGTCCGAGTCAAGACCGAGTCCATAGAGAGTCGACTCCGAGTCAAGACCGAGTCCATAGAGAGTCGAGTCCGAGTCAAGACCGAGTCCATAGAGAGTCGAGTCCGAGACCAGAGACAGTCGAGTCCGAGTCAAGACCGAGTCCATAGAGAGTCGAGTCCGAGTCAAGACCGAGTCCATAGAGAGTCGAGTCCGAGACCATAGAGAGTCGAGTCCGAGTCAAGACCGAGTCCATAGAGAGTCGAGTCCGAGACCAGAGACAGTCGAGTCCGAGTCAAGACCGAGTCCATAAAGAGTCGAGTCCGAGACCAGAGACAGTCGAGTCCGAGTCAAGACCGAGTTCATAGAGAGTCGAGTCCGAGTCAAGACCGAGTCCATAGAGAGTCGAGTCCGAGTCAAGACCGAGTCCATAGAGAGTCGAGTCCGAGACCAGAGACAGTCGAGTCCGAGTCAAGACCGAGTCCATAGAGAGTCGAGACCGAGACCAGAGAGAGTCGAGTCCGAGTCAAGACCGAGTCCATAGAGAGTCGAGACCGAGACCAGAGACAGTCGAGTCCGAGTCAAGACCGAGTCCATAGAGAGTCGAGTCCGAGTCAAGACCGAGTCCATAGAGAGTCGAGTCCGAGACCAGAGACAGTCGATTCCGAGTCAAGACCGAGTCCATAGAGAGTCGAGTCCGAGTCAAGACCGAGTCCATAGAGAGTCGAGTCCGAGACCAGAGACAGTCGAGTCCGAGTCAAGACCGAGTCCATAGAGAGTCGAGACAGAGACCAGAGAGAGTCGAGTCCGAGTCAAGACCGAGTCCATAGAGAGTCGAGTCCAAGACCAGAGACAGTCGAGTCCGAGTCAAGACCGAGTCCATAGAGAGTCGAGTCCGAGACCAGAGACAGTCGAGTCCGAGTCAAGACCGAGTCCATAGAGAGTCGACTCCGAGTCAAGACCGAGTCCATAGAGAGTCGAGTCCGAGTCAAGACCGAGTCCATAGAGAGTCGAGTCCGAGACCAGAGACAGTCGAGTCCGAGTCAAGACCGAGTCCATAGAGAGTCGAGTCCGAGTCAAGACCGAGTCCATAGAGAGTCGAGTCCGAGACCATAGAGAGTCGAGTCCGAGTCAAGACCGAGTCCATAGAGAGTCGAGTCCGAGACCAGAGACAGTCGAGTCCGAGTCAAGACCGAGTCCATAAAGAGTCGAGTCCGAGACCAGAGACAGTCGAGTCCGAGTCAAGACCGAGACCAGTGAGGGTTGATTACCTAATTTACTTTTATTTACTTAGAGAAATCCTTTTTTTTATACTGAATTTACTTAGAGTTTAAAAAATATGATCAGTTTAGGGTAAAACGGCCACATAGTAGGTGGTGTTAAAAGTAATTTTATTACAATTTGTCATGCGCAGTTGCGCACTAGAAAATCACCAATCACTGGGCGTGTCAATCAATTTAAAGAAATATTTTATTAACATACATTAATAATCATGAAAAATATTTTTGAATTTAACTCGAGTGGACTCGGGAATAAGTCAGAGTCCTAAAAAAAAAAATTTTCGAGTACGAGTCAATTCCGAGTCCAAATGGACACGAGTCCATGACAAGACCAAGACCATTAAAATATGGTCTCGAGACCGAGTCCGAGACGAGTCCGAGTCCTGAGTACTACAACACTGCATGTTACAGCCTATTTAGATGCACATGCATACATTTCCATACTATGATTTAATTGAATGGATAGTTTAGCCAAGTCTGGTTTCACATATGAATACTGTGTTTCATTCTGTGTTTGAGTTTCTGTGAAATGAGATCTTTCTCTTGGTCTTAATCCTTCACCATAATGGACATTAAGGCTGAGGTAGAAGTTTAAATCCTTGGAAATTGGTTGAAGCTATAATGTGCTACGATTGTTCAGCACCACGTTGTTATTATGTGATTGGTTGTATAGACGTGGATGTTAATGACAACATGAGTTTGATCAGTTCTGATTTCCCTCTTCTCTCACAGGTAGAGGAGATTCGAGGGTTCATTGACTCTCTGACAGAGAAAGTAGAAGAAGTGAAAAGAAATCACAGCACCATCCTGGCCTCTACAAACCCAGATGAGAGTAAGACCTTGTTACACACTCACAAAAGTCTTTCATTAGTCCACAAAGTCAGAAATGCACATGGAAAAGATCATAGTCCTGTCATTCAGCTTTCACTGTTACAAAACATCTATGTGTCTCAGTAAGAACTAAAGTGAATTTTAGAGCATTTGTATGGTGACATCATTTCCTATATCATTCTTTTGTCTTTCTAATATTGTGGCGTGTTTGCAAGGCAGCTGTATTTTATTGTACTATTGAAATATCCTGCAAGTTTCATAGCTTAAAACGTCCTCCTTGTTATAAACATCGCATTTTTTAAATAAAGCTCCCAAAACTGATTGTTTGATATTGTGGGATCTGTGATGTCACATTAGAGAAACATATTTGTGACCTGATCCAGCAAAATGAGTCGCAGTGACGCAAATTAAAAAATTGAGATTTTTGTATTAATTGAAAGAGGACACCATAAGCTTTCACATGATATCTTAGTCAAAGTCATACCTTGAATGGTTGTAAAGATATACACATTTGAATTCTGGTCGTCTGCCCTTTTTTTCCAATTGAAAACCTGAGAAAATCGCTTTTAAAGTTTTTTTGCCCATTTTTTTGTTGATATCTTTCAAAATCCATTGCATTTTAAAAGATAAACTATTTATTTTATAGCTTAATTTGACCAAATACATTAATATATATATATATATATATAAATTAGGGCTGTCAAATGATTAATCGCGATTAATCGCATCCAAAATAAAAGTTTGTGTTTACATAATATATGTGGGTGCACTGTGTATAATTATTTTATATATATAAATACACACACATGCATGTATATATTTAAGAAAAAAAATATTATTTATATGTAAAATATTTATATTTATAAATAATATAAATTATATATAAATCTATATACAGTATATACATGAAAATATTTCTTAAATATATACAAGCATGTGTGTGTATTTATATAAAATAATGATACACAGTGCACCCACATATATTATGTAAACACAAACTTTTATTTTGGATGCGATTAATCACGATTAATCATTTGACAGCCCTAATATAAATGTGATTTAACCAGGCTGAAGCTCAAATTATTTAAGTTATTTGGAATAAATAATTAAAAATGCACTTTTACAAAAATGTTCTAAAATCAGAAAGATTGAACAGAGGAGCCAGAGAGAAATTCACTTTTCATACGGATTAGCCCACATAAGCAGAGAGCAGTCTCTTTTCTTTCGTTTTGAATGGTTTTGTTTAAAAGTAGACATTTCAATATATATATTTCTCAAGTCTGTGAGGCAAGTAGGATACCTTATACGCTGACTTTCGGTTCATGAGACGAGCTTCGGTTCACGTGCTGCCGCCTCCCTGTCGTGATTAGGCCTAGCCTATCCTTTGTCTGCAATTTATTTCTTATTATTAAATCCTGGTAATTGGTTGATGAAACATTGATTTAAATTATGATAAAATTATTTCCAAACGAAATTCACTTTAAAGAACGGCTTTGTGCTTGCTTTCTGTTTAGCCTCTGTGAAAGTTTTAGTGCTGCTTCCAGAGAACGGTCATGTCCGTATCATTGTTTTTCCCTCATAAAAGCGAACACGGAAAAATAAAATAAAACATTTTCTGTTCTGGGGAGAGTCAACCCTTCTTCATCCGGTGGGTATTACTTTTGGTTTGTGCGGTGTGGTTCACATAGGCCTATTTATTAAAAGATTTAATTATCTGGGAATTATGGATCTCCTCCATAACGCTGAAATTGCCCAATTTTAAACAATTTAGTAATAATTTAACTAGTTTTGTGGTGTAGGTCTACATATTTTATAACGTTAACTTCAAATAATACTAATAGTAGCCTAATTTAAAGATGTGGAGGATAACTCCGGGATTTGAAGGGACGTGTCGCGATTCTGCCTTCTCACACCGCGACAGTTCGTGGATCTGAGTGTTGCGATCGTTACACCTTACATGTATTCTTCTTGCAGATAAATATACTCACAAAGCAGGTTAGAAGCCTCCAGTGAGTTCAACGTTTCAGCGGATAGGCTACCCGGGAAATGCTCAGAGGTGACGAGGGGAATTTCAGCGAATTTAAAGCTTTGACAACTTTAATCGTCATTTAAATACCTTTCCTCAATTATCTGGACTACGAAACTTTGGGAGATTATTTTTGAATGTCTGTTCTTTGAAATTAGCACAAAAAAAATTTTTTGAAACAATTAAAACAATTGTTTTTCCACATAATTGGCCCATATCTTAAAATGGAACATTACGACTTCCGACTCATTTTGCCAGAGCGGGTCACATTTGCATATTCCTGCCTCCAGAGCAAGACATCGACCAATAGTTATACGTCTTCACACCATAGACCCCGCCCACTGGCGTTCAGTCTCTTAACGCCTACACTGGATGTGAGCTTTGTTTCAAAAGCAAATAGAAGCCATTATAATCACTGAATGTGAATATATATACTGTAGACAGCATTGAGACCGTGCTTGAGTGAGTTGACAAAAGTATAAATGGAAGAGTGAAAAAACGTTAGCTTTGACCATCCAATTTAAACAACTGGGGCCTCATGCATAAAACTTTGCGTAGATTTCATCCTTAAAGTGTGCGTACGCACATAAGGCACAATTTGCGTACGCACAAAAGTTTTCAGATTTATAAAACCGTTCGTACGCCAGAACCTGCGCAGAATTCACTTTATAAAACCCAGTCAGCGGGAGATTATGCGCATGTGCGTCTCCTCCCCGAAATAACCATATATGGAGATTACAACGCCTAGTTTTACTATGCATATCCTCATCTGCATATCATTTGCATATGATTATTCATCCACGTGATACCAAGTTTAACGGTACAAGACGTTAGGAAAATATGAAATGCGGATGTGCAGTCACATTATTACAAACATTTTTTTTAGTAGCCTATATCCTTGCCTTGTTTTTGAATTAATAAATCAAATAGTGTTAAATACATTTCAGAGAAAGTTTTTCTCAATCTTTTCCACTGCCCAAATAGTATTTTTAATTGATTTATATTTTAATGGATAATGGAAGAGATTTTAAGGGAAGAGATAGACATGGTTGTGCATTATTTGCACGAAACAGTTTTCTCAGACAATCTCTAGTTAAAACATTAAAACACAGCATGCCAGAAGAAAAGTGTTCAAAAGCAATGCATCCAAAACAAATAGGTCTATTTCTATTTATTGAATATATATATATATATATATATATATATATATTGTAACTTCTCAGTAATGATTTCATGTAGCCTATGTTTAAGAGTTTAACTCCATTAATGAGAATGGCATATATCTAAATGTTTATATCAAAGTAAAACATAGTTTAAACCATTTTCTTATTTATTTAAACTGTTATTGTGAATATGAACTGTATTTATGATTTGGACTCATAATGAAGATTTACGGTTTTACTCCATCTGCCGTTAGATTATAGGCTATATGCGTCAGTTTCACCAAACGGCCCAACGCGCGTGCTGGCGCGGTCATTTAAGAAGGGATGGATGTTTGCTTCAAGTGATGATAGGTTTGTGAAATTATATTTGTATTATCTTTCTGTAGATGTATAATTTTCTTTAGATTCTCTGTCTAATAGTAAGCAAAAAGACATTTGACTCCAGCTCACCATCGGTGTCGCCAAAACCCATACTCTTCTAAAAGAGTGCGTACGCACGGTCAAGAGCATCCTTACGGTGCGCACTTATTTACGCCAAGTTTATTTTTTATAAATCCCGATGTGCGCGTGGAAAAATGCGTACGCATATTTCTATGGCCATTTTGTGCGTACGCAACGTTTATACATGAGGCCCCCGGTCTGTGTTTTTGTACAGACTTTAGAATGATACCAGCGCCTGAAACAAGTGGATGGTATATTTTAATGGAGTCCCGGATCGCGTCAAATGATTATATGTTTGTTCATGTTGTTTTGTAAACGAGGAACAATATAATGGAGAGTTAGCAAAGAAACGTTTGTTGTGATTTTATAATGCTTTGTCTATAAATTTTGGTTTTCACCATATATAAACCTCGTTTTTTTGTGTGCAAAAACTATTAACATTATGTGCAAAAACTACTACGGGAACATAAATAATATTAAAATAATAAGAATAATAAAAAAAAGTCAATGTCATGACCAGTGTTGGGTAAAGTACTCTAAAAAAGTAATTAATTACTAGTTACTAATTACCTCTTCAACAGTGTAATTAGATTACTGTACTAATTACTCTCTCTAAAAAGTATTTAATTACTTTTAATTACTAATTACTTTCAAAATCCCATATCAATCTCAACCAGCTGAATAATACAAGGATAGACATGAATCTGTTTTAATTTTTTCAAATAAATCCTATAAAATTGCATGAATTATCCTTAAACTGACCAAGGAGGAGAAGGTTACATTATAAAAACATACTTTTTAGCATCAGACAATACATTTTGATGTTAAACCCACTATTGTTTTATGTCTGATCTCATGACATTTCACACTTTTTTCATACATATTTTACAATAATTCATACGAATTCATACGAATCATGCGGTCGTAATATTTAGATTCCTCATAACATGCATACAAATCGCTGTGAGATCGGATTGATCTATACACATTATTTACCTCAATTACATCAGAAGTAACTGTAATTAAATTACAGATAAATGAAGAGTTATCCCTTACTTTACATTTTCAAGGGAAAAGTAATGAAATTACAGTAATTACTAATTACTTATTTAATTACTAATTACTTAAACATAAAAATCTAATTTACCTAAATATAGCATGTTCACACACCTAAATGTGCATTGCTCCAGGACCAGGGTTGGGAACCACTGCTCTATAGCCACAACTGCACCAAAACACTCTCTGTGCAAGCAGCACATGTGGTCCAACTGTAGACGTCACACTGAGATCTTGTCTGGCCGGGTTGTGCTCTTGTGACTGACACACTAAATGCCAATGTTCTCCTACAATCACAGCAGGGCTACTCTGTAAATGACTGTACTCTGTTCTGACTCAGGAAGTATTGATGGATAGCATAGCACTTCAGTCTCACGCTCGTTTCAGAGGACCATAAACACAATCATGCAAAGAAAAAATCAGTAAATCACCACTTTAAATAAAGGACATCTTAAGTGTTACTAGTTGGAAAATAATGTGTTACTTTATTCAAATATGCTGAATAGCCTACATTACATCCAGTAATATTGGAATATTTGAGTAGTTGATGTGCATATACATACTGTGTCTCTCTCTTTTATTTTTTAACAGAAGCAAAAGCAGAGTTGGAGGAGTTGATGACAGATATCAAGAAGTTGGCTAATAAAGTGCGCTCCAAGTTAAAGAGTGAGTCCTTCACCCTCCTGCAACTATAGTCATGTTACAGACAGAGGCATCAGAGAAACAATTACCACGTGTCTTCGGTGCACTCTCTCTTCACCTGCGAGTCACAAACAGCACTGGCTTTATTAAAACTTGTGAGCTGACTTACTCAAGAGATGAGTCTTTGGTTTAAAGTTAAACTGTCTGAATCCTGAACTGATATTCTGGGTATCATTAACTGGCGATAGTTTTGCGATATTTGATGGACTGTAGTGTGATAAGAACTTAAAGCTTTGTAAGTAATTATAGACAGCAAATTTAGCGAAGCTTCAGCTGGTTCAGAAGCTAATTCAATAACCCTGAAGGAAATTCTCCAAGTAGTGCATTACAATAATCTAATTTTGAGTCATGAACACATGAATGGCTTTCTGGCATTAGAAATAGAGCCGTTCATATCATTAGGATTCAACGATTGTGGTATCATTTGAGGCATCTCTCCCACAACATCATGGCACTGATAGCAATATACACAATAACTCATTCCAGAGGGATTTGGAACAAGTCTGGTTCTTATATATCCCTCAGGTGCTCTTCGTTTCGGAGTCACACTTGTTATCTTCCCGGTCAAAAGTGACCGGACACCTAAAAATGAAACTTTCTCCATCCCAGTAAAACCAATGCAATTTATTTTTGTTCTATAATATTTATTCTTTTTAATTTGGTATTTTGAGACAATTTAAATGAATTTATTAATATTTATGCAATATTTATGGTTTATTTTTGCCATAGAAAAATATATATTATTTTCTATATATATATTATTTTCTTCAAAAAAATATTAATGCAGTATTTTAGTTTAATATAGAGTCTAGGCCTTCAGAAAAAAAATATTTTTTGAAGAAAATTAGCACCATCTGGTTACAGTATAGAGAAAAAGCGTAGAATCATGGTGTGACCACTAGATGGCATGTACAGCTCTCTATGGAGAGGCATGTGAATTCCCCAGCTGTTTATGAACACATTTTTGTTGTTGTTGTTGTTGGATTTGTATATATATAGTTGAAACAATCTCAAAAACTATTTCTTATAAAAAAAATGACAAAAAACAAATATTCACAATTTTTTTTCTTTTTTTTTTACAATTTCCCATTTATTTCCTATGGGGTCAATTTTGACCAAAGACCACAAGTGTGACTATTTTTTTTAAGACCACTTAGCATGCTCAGATCATGACCTCAATTTTTTTGTGTGTTCACATACATAATGCCATAAAAGTCACCAAGTTTCGTAACATCGCGATGAAGCTGTGATTTTTAAAAATTCAAAACATACTTTTTGTAATCAAAATTTATTGGTGTGTATGTGTATAAAAGTGTCTTTGTATGTGTGTGTGTGTTGGTGGGTGTGTCTGTTTTGCACTCTAGATGTTGTAGAGTGTCACCCCTTTCTTGCGGTGTACTTTTTTTTTTAGAATTGTGGCCGATTCGTACATTGTACATACAAAAATTCAGAGAATTTTTTTTTTGTATCAATTTCCCATTCATTTCCTATGGGTTGTCATTTTTGACAGAAGAGCAAAAGTGTGACTCATTTTTTTACGACCACTTAAATTGCTCGAATCATGACCTTAATTTTTTTGTGTGTTCACATACCCAATGCCATAAAAGTCACCAAGTTTCGTAATTTTCTGAAGAAGCTGTGATTTTTAAATATTCAAAACAGATTTCTTTAATCACAATTTATTGGTGTTTTTGTGTATAAAAGTGTGTGTGTATGTGTGTGTGTAGGGGTTGGTATGTTTGTTTTGCACTCTTGATGTTTTACAGTGTCACCCCTTCAATGCTGAGCACTTTTTTTCTGCATCGTGGCCGATTTGTAGATTGTACACACAAAAATTCTCAAAGTTTTTGTGTTTTTGTCAATTTCCCATTCATTTCCTATGGTCGGTCATTTTTGACCGAAGAGCACAAGTGTGACTATTTTTTTTATGAACACTTAGCCTGCTCGGATCATGACCTCAATTTTTTTTGTGTGTTCACATACCCAATGCCATAAAAGTCACCAAGTTTCGTAACATTCGGATGAAGCTGTGATTTTTTAAATTTCAAAACAGAACATTTTTCGGTCAGAAATGACCGAAGTGCACCTGAGGGATATTGATCATTTAGAGCATGTAAATGAATAACCACAGGGATGTCTCCCATTTTTTTAAGGTATCCAGCTGACCATAGAGCAGGAGGCAGTAAACAGTGAATGCCCATCAGCTGATCTGAGGATACGGAAAACACAGGTGAGACGTCAGTCTGCTACTCACTGATGACTGGCTGATACATAGGGTTTGTGTACATTATTATAATTGGTCTCTGTTTTTCAGCACTCCACCTTGTCACGTAAATTTGTGGAGGTGATGTCTGAATATAATGCAACACAATCAGATTACAGGGAACGTTGTAAAAGACGGATACAGAGACAGCTGGAGATTAGTGAGTACACACACACAAACACACACAGACACGTGAGCCAGGTGTGTTTTCTCTGAGAACGCAAGGGAGTTCTCAAAAAGGTTGGGAAAAATAATCAACGGTATAAAAAATAAAACAACATGAATAATCCAATATGAGATTTATTAGCACTCAGAAATGCTTGATTCAGACATTCCTCGATAATACATAATATACATCACTGCATAATAACCGCTAATATAGCTAATAATCTGCGCTTCTTTCTGCGTGTCTTGAATTGAGACATGATTGCTTTATATGATGAACAGATTAAGAGTTACAATTACTCTTTCTAAAATAAAAAAGGACTTTTATTTTTATATTACTTTGTCTTGATGTGCCTGTGTTCAGTCCCTGTGGTTAAGTTCCTATTTCCCTTGTTTCCATGTCTGTCTTGCAGTGTTGTAGTACTCGAGACTCGGACTCGTCTCGGACTCGGTCTCGAGACCATATTTTAATGGTCTTGGTCTTGTCATGGACTCGTGTGCATTTGGACTCGGAATTGACTCGTACTCGAACATTTTTTTTTTTTAGGACTCGGACTTATTCCTGAGTCCACTCGAGTTCAATTAAAAATATTTTTAATGATTATTAATGTATGTTAATAAAATATTTCTTTAAATTGATTGACACGCCCAGTGATTGGTGATTTTCTAGTGCGCAACTGCGCATGACAAATTGTAATAAAATTACTTTTAACACCACCTACTATGTGGCCTTTTTACCCTAAACTGATCATATTTTTTAAACTAAGTAAATTCAGTAAAAAAAAAAAAGGATTTCTCTAAGTAAATAAAAGTAAATTAGGTAATCAACCCTCACTGGTCTCGGTCTCGACTCGGACTCGACTGTCTCTGGTCTCGGACTCGACTCTCTATGGACTCGGTGTCGACTCGGACTCGACTGTCTCTGGTCTCGGTCTCGACTCTCTATGGACTCGGTCTCGACTCGGACTCGACCGTCTCTGGTCTCGGACTCGACTCGGACTCGACTCTCTATGGACTCGGTCTTGACTCGGACTCGACTCTCTATGGACTCGGTCTTGACTCGGACTCGACTCTCTATGGACTCGGTCTTGACTCGGACTCGACTCTCTCTGATCTCAGTCTCGACTCGGACTCGAGTGAGGTGGTCTCGACTACAACACTGCTGTCTTGTAAGGCTACGTCCACATTAATCTGGACACATTTGAAAATGGCATTTTTGTTTAAAAACGCTCTCTGTCCACACTAGCGGTTTCAGTACGGATGAGAAACTTCTAAATTCACCGTACTGCCTATGTGTGGAAACTCACCGGGACGAAACAGATGGAAAAATAAATAATAAAGTTATCGTGCAATTCTTCTAACAGGATAATTTTATTTCGCAAAATATCTCACCATCACCGATGCGTCCAGGTCGCACTCAGTCACCATATGTTTGGTCTAAAACACGTCTGCTCTCCTGTATTGCCGCAGGACAGCAAATGTGAGTACACCGGTTCAGTTTTTGCTGATTACTTATCCAGCCTTGGTGTACACAAGTGTGGTTTAGCCAGGTCATGCATGTGTAGATAGGCCATCTTCTCTATTGACCAGTATTGAAGTGGTTTAACACAACGTGGCAGAATTGGGTCCCTAAGGTATTTCTGTACGTCCACTGCAATGTTGGCAAAGGTTTTCATCGCAGTCTGGGCATGGGTGCCATTAATAAAACAACCATTTTAAAACGTGGATCTTAAAGTGTTGCCAGACTCGAGCAAGGCAGCTCTTTTGTGTGACAAACCTCTCATTCAGTTGTTTGAGCAAGTTTGCAGCCAGTCGTGAGTCCATATCTGATGTCATTTTGGTACTCATCTCTCGAATAGATGTTTTCAACATTCAGATCATTGGGATCACTCTTGGTGGAAAGGCCCAAGAATCCCAAGGCACTTGAAACGGTGACAGTCTGTCCTCGGCTGAAGGGACCCATGATCTTGAGCCCTAGGGTACAGAAGTCTTCTATCTCAGGAGCTGAATCAATGGCCTTCACCACCAAATTGAGACCATGGGCGAAGCAGTGTGCAAGGAGTATTTTTAAAGTTTCAACACAAGCCACCATGTTGGCGACCATGTAACCAGTGACCATGGAGCTCCCTTTTCCAGAGATACCCCATACCCCATTCCTCATTAGAGTGGCTTTTGCTTCTGTAATGTGAGCTGTTGCGTGGGTCTTGGGGAACTTGGCCTCGCACAGAACGATGGATGAGAGCTATCACTCTGAGGTCACATAGTGGCATGTTACTCTATGTGCTTCTCGGCTACCATTGCCTTCAGAGCTTTGCTAATGAGGAGGATGTGGGCAGGGCCCTGACGCCTTCATCCTCAACCATAGAAAATGGCTGAGTGTCTTTCACAACCATCTGGACAAGGACCTCATCCAGCTTTTGTTGTCTGGACCCTATCCAAATTTTATTTTTGATCGGAAATCGGGCCCGATCACGTGGTTTCAGACTCGATCGGAATCGGATGTTACCTCCCGATCAGGACTCGGATATATGCGTATTTTCCGCACTATATTATAAGGCGCACTTAAAAGCCTTTAATTTTCTCAAAAAAATGACAGTGCGCCTTATAATCCGGAGCGCCTTATATATGGATCAATTAGTTAACAACGCTCCACGTTATTAAATTCGCCCGCGATCGCGTTCGTGTCCATCTTATGCCCGCTTTGTCACACGGCCTCGTATAAATCAGGTTATGTGTGTGTCTCCCGCTCACGAGCGCTCACTCTTAACAGACACACTGTCCCCGTCGCTGCTCACAGAATGTTCATCAAGCGCTCCCCGTTCACAGTAACCGGATGGTCTCATTCAAAACAGCCAGCTGTTGCTGTCCGGCGTGTCCGTTTTTTATTTCGGCTCCCATGTTAACAGGTTAGAGCTTGGACACTGCCTGAGTGACACGCGCATATCAGGCGCACATGAGCAGCGCGGAAAACGCGTGCATGCCAGAAATAGAACCGATGCCTATTTTTCACGTGTTGGAAGTAAATAGGAAAATATGTTTATATGTTATTTTGTACACGAATACATATTGATAAATTAAATGTTGATGGTTGAAGTCTAGGTTGACAAATTCTGATATAAATATAGTTTAAAAATAAATAAATATCAATTTTCAATTATTGCAATACAGATCTATACCTTTCAGTATCTGTCTATACAGAACGAAATATTCGGTGGTCTATTTTGCTGTCAATACTGCTGACAGTGTCTTTATCAGTATATCTATGCTTAACATTTTAAAGTTGATGACAACAACATTGCCATACCCAGATAGCAAACTGACATTGAATCAACGTGGAAACGACGTCTCTTATGACATTGAAACAACGTTGATTTTGCTCATCGAATTAACGTTGAACCAACGTCAGACGCGGCATTCTTCAAAGCTAAATGAAAATCGAAAATTGGTTTGCTTTCATAACGTTGAAACAACGCATTGATTTCAAGTTGATTTTCCGTTAGTTTTGAAAGAATGACGCGTCTGACGTTGGTTCAACGTTAATTCGATGAGCAAAACAATGTCAGATCAACGTTGTTTCGATGTCATGTTTCTACGTTGATTCAATGTCAGTTTGCTATCTGGATATAGCAAACTGTAGCCATGTTTCCATCCACTTGTCAATCGAATTATCTGAAATTCGGTTAAAAAACTCATGCGGATAAAGCTGGTGAATGTGTGTTTCCATCCAACGGCTTTAAAGCGAATAAAAACCTGTACGCAATGACGTCACATGCTGTTTTGCGATCAAATTGGTATATCGAATTGATTTGAGACATTTTAAGGTGTTTCCATTCATTTTCGCACTGAATCGAACAACATTCAAGCAAACTTTTGCGAACAAAGTTTTGTTGGACAAAACGGATTGTGCCATCTACCAAAAAATGATCAATATTTCGCAAGTTGAAGGCTAATAATGCTTATGTGCCAGTTGATAGCGACATATGAATGGGATAATGTATGCGAGGCAGTTGTTGTATTCGCGTATTCGTATTATCCTGCTTATTACATATAAATCAACCAAATAAATAAATAAATCAATCATTTGACACAAAATATTGACTTAAAAATGAGTTTATTGATTTAAAAACGAGTATTGCTTCTGCTAAAGAAAATAGTCTGTTCCGTCTCTGAACTGCGTCCATGGCAACGGTGTGTTATAGCAACGCCGCAATCTGTTAACTAGAAATAACAGACCACATTATACATTAGAATTCAACCAAGCCACGTAAAAACAAGCAAAACTAACCCAAGAAAACAACGACGCTATAAACATTGCTATGATGATGCCGATGCACGTAAATGCCCGACGACAGCGGAGGTGACTATAGTGTGGGAACGAGCGCTCCATCAGTTCTGGGAGATCGTGGTTCACGGAAACCCTTTGGTTGAAGCATCTTTTTGCTTTGTCCATTTACATCTGTCTTTGTTGACATCCGCCATTGTGCGCAAACAGACAGGCCGGAAATGAACTCGTCTTCTGACGTGTTGCAACCATAAAAGGGCATAAAACTTCATCGCAATTCATTATTTATTCGGCAAATAACGTTTCCATCAGCTTTTATCGCATTAGCCGTATATCGATCAAGAGAAAATTCGATGAGACCGAACGTATTTCATTTGAGTCGATTTTCATGAAATTTCATCGAATTTTACTTTTTCCATAAGGCTTTTTTCATTCGATATCACTTAATTCGGATAAAAAAGTGTCGATGGAAACATGGCTACCCAGATAGCAAACTGACATTGAATCAACGTGGAAACGACGTCTCTCATGACATTGAAACAACGTTAATTTTGCTCATCGAATTAACGTTGAACCAACGTCAGACGCGGCATTCTTCAAAGCTAAATGAAATCGAAAATTGGTTTGCTTTCATAACGTTGAAACAACGCGTTGATTTCAAGTTGATTTTCCGTTAGTTTTGAAAGAATGACGCGTCTGACGTTGGTTCAACG